CTCTCAGAGGGGACTCCACCCATGCAGACAACACAATCAAATCTGATTGCTTTCTCTCTCTCTTTTTGGGAAGAGGTGTGGTTTTGGAGACAGTGTCTCTAAGTATCCCTAGCCAGCCTGGAGCACTACTATGCAGACCAGGCAGGCCTTGAATGCATAGAGATCTGCCTGCTTCTGTCCCCCAGGCACTGGGATTAGAGTGCACCACTGTGCTTGGCTCTAAGTCTGACTTCTTATACTTTGTTGTCTGTGGTCCAAGGCTAAGCCTTCCTCATCAAGCTTATGCAAGGCAAAATCAACAACTTCTGGCAGAGTGCATGGCACAGGGCTAGAGCCCCAGCAATATCCCCATCTCCTTACACTGAAACATTAATCTGTGAATGCCTAAAATGGCATTACACCAGCCACTCCCAAAGCCAGTGAACGTCCAGTGGCCACTTCCAGGCTTCCAGACCCCACCTTCAATCAGAGGGTCTGTTCCAAGCAGGGCTTATAGGTCAAAACTTAAACCCACTGTCTCACAGAGGACCCGCTAGTCACACCATTCACTTGCCCTCCTGAGCTTGATCCTCCTTGAGCAAGACAAGCTGAGCAGCTGTTTCCAGATTCTGGCTCAGCGACAGTGGTGGACTTCCACCATGCCAGAGAGAGGGGCTGCAGACACACACACTTCATGGCACTGCATGGCAGGCACCAGACCAAGAACACTTGACAAGCCTGAAGAGTAGAACCCAGCTCAAGCCAAAGCTTCCATCTCCTCCACAACTGATGCTTATGTGCGTGCAGTTATCTTAAACACTTTCTCCCTTAACATAGGAAAGAGTGATGGGGTAGCTCACTCACCATGTTGCCCAGGAGAGACCTGAACTTCTTGAGTAGCTAGAGTTATAGGTGTGTGACACTATGCCCAGCTTTCCAAGCTGTATCTGTCAGTTCTAGGCCCCTCAAGAGTGGCAGCCGGAAGGCCCAAATCCGTGTCTGCCTTGCTCACCGCTGCTTCCTGGCACATAAGCAGCACAGAGCAGCCACAGGACACACACACACACTGAAGCAATGTCCCTAGTCACTTCAGACCGGCAAGGGGCCTTGTAATTGCTGAACGGTAAACACCTCCCACTCTGGCGGGCAAGGTGCTGAAATGCCAGGTCCCTTGCCCGCCATGCCACCATCATCTGGCCTTCCTTCTCCATAGGATCTAACAGTATAAATCTTCCAAGTTATAAAGAGGAAGACCTACCTTCACGGGCATGGCTTGTCATTTCCTTAAACTAGTGATCACAAGCTACTTTTTCTTTTTTCCATTTTTTTTGAGACAGCGTTTCTCTGTGTAGCCCTAGCTGTCCTGGTGCAAACACACATGGGGGTCTCTGAGTTGAACCATGAATTTTTTTTTTTAAGTTATGGTGTTCATTTACTTATTTATTATTTATTTATTATTGGAGAAGACTGCATTTTTGAAGTTACAGTGTTTATTTGTTATTGGGGGAAGACTATGTACTCTTTTAAGTTACAGTGTTTATTTATTTATTTATGTATTATGCGGGGAGGGACTATGCGAGTATGGAGGTTAGAGGAAGACTTGGAGTATCTGGTTCTCAGCTTCTATATATGGGTTCCAGGAATTGAACTCTGCTCCTCAGGCCCGGCAGCAGCAATCACCTTTACCCACTGCGCCATCTCTCTGGCATCTGAACTCTATCTTATTCACAGGAAGAGACCACCAACATACATTCATGGTTGCTCCATGATTTCCCCTTTTAACAACACGAAGAGCCTCTCCTACTAGCTCCTGTCAGCAATGCCTTCTGAGCTGGAGTAGCAGCTCCTGAGAGGCCTCCTTGGCCTTTCACTACTGCAGCTCCTCCACCAGGCAACAGCATCCTAACTCTTAGAATAATAACCCTAAATTAGAAGCCAGAGTCCTGTTAGGCAAAGTGCTTTGCAACTGGCAGCACTTAGGGACAGTGCTAAGACAGCCGGCTAAGGAAATGCAAATAAGCTCCATTTGCCTAAGCATTCCTAACAGGGACGGGAACCCGGACTCCAAGAAAAATCGTGGCCTCCACTCCAAAATCAAATGCATTTTAAAATCTCAGGCCTCAGCTGGGCAGTGGTGGTGCACGCCTTTAATTCCTTTCATTGGGAGGCAGAGGCAGGCAGAGCTCTGTGAGTTGAGGCCAGCCTGGTCTACAGAAAACAAAACCATGGTGACTTTCCTTCATTACCTATGATGTAGCCCCACTCTGCCACTTCTGGCTTGTCCCAACTACCCACACCAGGACATCAGATCATTCAAGCATGGTAGAAGCTTGACAATAGGCAGAAATGACTTAGGAGCCTGGGGGACACAAAGAATAAGTTGATGAGTGAGTGAGTACCAAACCCAAGTGGCTAAAGCCCACAGGCACAGGCCAGAACACTCTAAGCAACCTCTTTTTTGAAACAGGGTCTCACTCTCACTGTGTTGCCCACGCTGGCCTTGAATGCCTTAAACAGCTGAGATTACAGGGCCAGCCTTCCAAGCCCTATCTTTCAGTCTTAGGTACTGTTCTAGAGCCTAGACAGACAGAGACAGAAAACACAAGACCAAAATCTCAATCCCCAAAGAGCTCTGGATCGGGCCCATGCAAGCCACACTACTGTCTCACTATGACATTTCCTACTAGGAAGATCCACACTCAGTCTTGCCACTCCCGTGCCATGTTTGAGCATCCCATCATCAGGGTTCTTAAACAGTGTCGTCATATATACGACATACAACAGCACACAAGGAAGACCACTGCCTGGAGCCTGCCAGGCACGCTTCCACTGGCCAAGAGTGGTCTAGACACAGACGGAGCAACGCTCTGAATAAGGCTCAATGAATGTCTCAGCGTTTCTTCACCTGTCAGACGATGGAGACAGCGGAAGCCTAGAGGACTCTGGCCACTCCATCATCATCTCTGGCTTTAGCCCTGGGAGCACACACAGAAAACATCAGTCTACTTTCTGAAGTCTCACTCAAAACTGTCCTGGACAAGTCCTTCCCCATACAGACTAAAGTCAGGGTCCAGATCCCCAGGCCAGTTGTCAGCCAAGAGCAATAGGATGAAAAACAGTCTTGCCTACATTTTTAATCAATATACAGAAAGTTTACCAGCCAACCAGAATTATGCACCCTAATTCAGCTGATACACCCTGATTAAACAAGGACTGGGGCTCCTCAAAACCATCTAGAGTTCTAAGTCCACTCCCAAACATCTATCAGGCAAGGGGAGCCGCCCTCATGACTGATGCACGCAGCAGGTGGATGGCCTTAGCTCTGTCTACTTTACAGGCGTCCTTCATCATGTGAGGCCCTTCCATCTAGGTGCTGGGCCTGCTCTGCAAAAGTGTACAAGTGGATGGGGGTAGGGGCACACCTAAGGCTCCTCAAATAAGTTGCTCGCACAGCCAGCGTGCCTGCCTTCATTACCGAAACAAACACCACAGAGTTCAACCAGAGAACTCTCAGCCTGCAGAGTTTCGCTCACCTGATCCGACGTACCTCCATAATCAGCAGTTCCGACCCTTACAAGCTGGCAGTTCAGGGGGAAAGGGAGGCTGCGCCTGGCAGTGTGCATCATGTCCAGGCCATATGTTGGGCTCTGAGCTTGGTCCCCCAGTCCAGGGCTGTGGCCTCACAAGAGCGATTGTGCGTTCATCCCTGTCCACTTGGCTTACTCACCGTCAGCACCCTGCTCCCCACTCAGGCAGGGCGCCCCGCAAGACGCTCTGCACTGGCAGCACCCAGGCGGTGGCCACGGGAAATGCCCTGATCTGCCTTCCGGGCACACAGATGCCGCCCTTCTCTCCCTCACTCGCTTGCTAGCTCACACCGAAGTGCCCCCCCGCCCCCAGAAGGGGCAAAGCTTCAAGTTCTAGGAAGGCACAGCACCCAGACCACCCCCACCCCGGCTGGAGCTCTCCCCCGCTAGCCGCAGACTGCCAAGAGGGAGCGTCCTAGGAACAGGGGAGGGGACACCTGGGTCGGGAGCAGGACACCGAGCAAACGGGGTGTAGATGGGAGGGTGAGGGTGAGAACAGCGCCGGGCTGACGCAGACTAAGCTAAGTCGTGAGAAGTCTGGGGGAAGGGGATCGCTAGGGCCAGGGTCAAGGAGGTGGAGGAGGTGGACACAGCAGGAGTAGAGTCCAGACTTGAGGACCACCGAGAGAAGATTCCATGGGGGTTAAGGAAACAAACGTAGGCTGGAGCCACTAGAAAGGGGTTGTTGGGGTGCAGGCTGAGGCCATGGAGTTTGGGGGGAGGGGGTCTAGCCTGGGCCACAGCAGCGAGAAGCACCGTTCTAGTCTGGCCCCTGGGACTGAGGTAGGGGAACCTCCTCAGGCCATGGGATACAGGCCTGCGAGAGGGGTGCCTGGCCCGGCCTCCGGGGGAAGGAAGGTCTAGCCTGGGATCCTCGAGACTAGCCTGGACACGTAGGGGAAAGAGCCGGGCTCCACCTGGAGCCCAGGGCGGGGTCACGGGCCACCCGAGCCTCCCGCCGCCTCCTCCGGACCCCAGGGGTGGCGTCTGCCTAGGGTCCCGGACCCCGCCCCTCCCCCACCCTGGGTCCCCACCCTCCCGGGGCCGGCGGGTCGGCGAGGGAGGGGACATGAGCTCCCGTAGGGGGTCCCGGGATAGGGCCGTGGAAGAGGGGGTCCCTTTACCATGGTGGCGGCGGCGGCGGCGGTCCCTGTCCCGGCGTCTGTGACTCTCCCCCCCGCAGCAGGGCCCGGCGCTTCCACTTCCCCGGGTGCCCAAGAGTGAACATCCGGGTCAGCGCCCCCCTCCCCCCCCTCCGCGCGCCGAGCCACAGCCACCTTCCTTCCCCGCCCCGGCCAGCCCGGCCCGCCCCCCACGCCGCCAGCTCGCGGCCAATGAGCGCGCGGGGCCGCGGCGATCGCCAAGTATGGAGCGCTGCGCGGGGGGCGGGGCTGGGGGCGGGGCTTGTGGGCGAGTGGGCGGGCCCTGGTGTGGGAGGGCGGGCCCTACGCGGGCCAGGCGCGACAGTTCTGTAAGCCCAGGACTGCGGCGTACCGGAGGGACCAAGGCAGCCTGTGGCTCCCTCATACTGCCAGCTTCGCATCTAACATCTGCAGGACTCGGGCTACCTGAGGGTGGAGAGGGTCACTGGCTCCCTGGGCGGAGGATGCGGAAGGCCCTGAACTAGGAGGGGACCGGCCCTCCGCGCCCCACCCGAACCCGGAACTGGTGCGCCGGAATGGGGCCCGGCCCCTTGAGAGCGAGCGGAACCTGGAGTGGGACGTCCGCGCTGCCGCCACTGTTGCTGAACACCTGCTATCACGACCAAGAAAGCAGCCTTTAGGTACCCAAAGATGACAGGTGGCTAAGCCATGAGGATCCCTGCCCGCACTTCCTGGCTACCAGACAGGGTAGTTGTGAGGAAGACGTGGGTAAAAAGATTAGAATATTGGATTCAATAAATGCTGGCCGTTTCGTTATACTTTTCTACATTATCTGCAGAGGATCAGCCTGATTGCCTAATGAGGCGCTTTCTCGCTTCATACAGTGACTCAGAAATCCCTCTTTGTTTTCAGGACTGAAGATTGAACCTAGAGCCTCATACAGGCTAGGCTAATGCTCTTACACTGAACTGAAGCCCCAGCCCTAGAAATTCGCTTTTCAAAATGTTTTCTCGAGTTATCTAGAATGCAAGAAGCCTAGAATGCAAATCTTGGTCACAATACCTACCTACCAGACTTGCTCACCCTCTGTTTAAAAACCAAATCAGGTCGTGAGAGAGGGCATCAGTAAACTTCATCCCTGGCAGACTGTGCCCTAGACCTCTGAGCTTTATAGACATGTGAAAGCCTTCAGGGACAAGCCACCAGCAGAGAAAGCATCCAGGTAAGTCTCTCAAAAATGGCATAGACCAGTATTACAGGAGTTCAGAAAAGGGAGTGGCACTTAGAAAGTCATTACTCCGCAAATATTTATTGTGTAGCTATTGGCCAAGCACTATGCAAACTATGGAGATTACAGCTTTGGGCAAAATACCTCATGCTAGCCTAGAGCTTGTGAGATTTTGGTTCTGGAGATGGAGCCTCCTGCATGCTGGGTATGTGCCCCTGCCCCGAGTTAAGGCCCTGTCGAGCTTGAATGCTGTCAGGAGACAGTTACCCTATCTAGACAGTTTTGGGGGTGAGATGTGGAAAACATCAGAGTGGATGGAGGAGGTAGGCAGAGGTAGATAAGCACTGTGTGGTGGCATTTTGGAAGATGGTCCAAGGGGGCTTTAACTTAGGAAGAAACATTTAATCAGACAGCTGAAGGTGGATGTGGAGCAGGCCATGTGCATACGGAACAGCAAGGTGCATCCAAAGAGACCCCCAGTGAATCCATAGATAGCAAGGAGGCCACTGTGGCCATCCTGAATTGTGTTGGCAGAGAGCTTCAAGAGCAGCAACAAACTGTGACCCCAAAAGACTGTGAGCCTACTGTGTGCTGGTCCATAGGGTGAACAGGGCTCAGGAAGCTATTTGTGTGTCCCAGACATTATTTATTTAAAAAGCAGTGTGTAGGGAGAAGGCTTATTTGGTACAGTGTGCTGAGGCCCCTGTGTTTGGTCCCCAAAACCCCTGTAGAAGAGCCAGTTTGGTTTCTGGGACTTCCTGGTCAGTTAATCTAGCTCCAGGCCAGTGAGACATCATCGTGGACAGTGTCAGAGGAATGATCCCTGAGGTTATCCTCTGTTTGCCACACACTTCCTGCATGCAAACATAATAGCACATACGTGTACACACACACACACCAATTTTTAAAGCGCTGACATGGGGGCTAGGGAGATGGCACTTGGGGTAAAGCACTTGTTGTACAAACATAAGGACCTTTCACACCCACAGCACTGACGCATGTAAACGCTGGGTGCAGCAGGGCATATCTGTAACCCAGTGCTATGTGACAGACAGGAGGATCTCTGGGACTTGGTGACTACCCACCCAAGCCAAATGGCAAACTCCAAATTCAGTGAGAGGGCCTGGTATGGTGGCACACGCCTTTAATCTGAGCACTCGGGAGGCAGAGCCAGGCGGATCTTTGTGAGCTTGAGGCCGGCCTGGTCTACAGCGTGAGTTCCAGGACAGCCAGGACTGTTTCACAGAGAAACCCTGTCTCAAAAACAAACAAACAAACGAACAAAAACCCCAAAGCCGAGGGGTAAGAGCATGACGTAAATGACACTAGGAAAGAGATTGACAGGAAGCCTTATCCAAAGTGCCCTGTCTGTAGTTTCTCACTTTGTTTCAGCCTTGAGGGATCAGTACTATTATTATCCCCATCTTACAGATGTGGAAACCAGAGGGGCTAAGTAATGTGCCCATGAGTTCAGCGCGAGGCTGTCTAGATCCAGCGCCCATATTCATAACCCACAGTGTAAGCATTTTGCTTCCCTACTTAAAAACCTTTGAGTGGTACATCATACTGGCTGGGGGGGGGGGGGGGGGGGGGGGGTTGGGGAGGGTGGGGGGGATGGCTCTAGGGTAAAGTGCTTGCCATACATACGTGATGACCTGAGTGTGTTTCCAGCAGCTTTCCAGCAGCTACATAAAAGCTGGGTATGGGGGCGTGCACCTGTAATCCTAGTGTTGGAGAGGCATAGGAAAGGCTCTCTGAACTTGCTGGCCATCCAGCCTAGCTAAATTGGTATTCTCCAGGTTCAGTGAGAGACCCTGTCTCCAACAAATAAGGTGAAAGGCCGGAGACATGGCTCGGGAGTTAGGAACGCCTCTTTCAAAGGACCCATGTCAGGCAGTTCTCAACTCCAGGAGAATGCAACACCCACTTCTGGCTTCTGCAGACACCCACACATGTGGTATATACATGTATATAATAAAATGTAATTAACTTTTAAGACTTTAATCTTAAAAATGTATCTATACGGTAAAGAGTAATCAGATACCCGATGCCAACCTCTGGCCCCCACGCGCACAAATGCACAAACGTGTTCACAACATACCACACAACGAACCTTACATCATTTTAAGTTCCTCATAATAAGAGGGCACAGGAACTCCACAGGGTTCAGGGACACTTACTCCATCTCCACCATTGAGCCCCATTTCAGCTCATTTATTTTTTTGTGGGGGAAACAGGCATACAAACACGCCACAGTGGACTTGTGGGAGTGGGCCTTCAGGAGTCAGTCTCTGTTGGTCTGGGGACTGAATTCAGGTTATTATCAGGCTTGGTGCCAGGTTGCTGTACCTCTGCATCATTTCACCAAGGCCCTATTTCTGCTGCTTCTCTTGCCTCAGCTACTCACTGGGCTCCTCGGCTGGCTTCTAGCCATATGGTGTCAATGCTTTAACCTATATGGGGCCCCATCCTGGTGGCCTTTATCCTTTTTATTCTCCACACCGGTTTCTATTAACTAACAACTTTATGTCTTTCATAGTTCAGATCCCCAAGACCAAGTCTGATGGGCCAGCCCATCTTTTATTCATTGACCAGATCACTAGGTCAGTCTGCAGGTTGACTGCCCATATGGCAGATCCCACCTCTAGATCTGTCACCATGTGCTGTGAGCATGAAGGCCTACAAGCTCTGGGTGGATAGACAAGCACCATAAGTATTTTAGTACTGTCACTCTTCTCCGTGTGTGTGTGTGTGTGTGTGTGTGTGTGTGTGTGTGTGTGTGTGTGTGTAGGCCAGAGGTCAACTGTGGGTCTAAGATGGCCATCCACTGTGGTGATATTTTGTTTGTGCTGAAATGTGGTAATATTTTATTTGTATGTTAATAAATAAAGTTTGCCTGGAGATCAGAGGAAATAGCAAGCCATTAACACAAAGGTCAGGCAGTGGTAGCACATGCTCTTAATTCAATCACTTGGCAGGCAGGGTCTCTGTGTATTCAAGGTCACACTAGGGAACAGAGCCAATCATGGTGACACATGCCTTTAATCCCAGTACCAACCATAGAGACCTGGAGGTCTGTACAGACAGGCAGTGACAAGGAAGTGAGGTAGCTGGGCTAAGAGCCAATGAGAGGGCAGAACAGCAAGGCAATAAAAACCTAGGTAGACGGGAAGTCGGGGCATTTTGGAAACTACAGAGCTGGTGAGGTAAAGTGGTTGGTGGCTCTCACTATTTCCCTGATCTCTAAGGTTTTCATCCCTATATTTGGCTCCGTGTTCTTTATTTAATTAGACCGCTTAGAGATTCATCTACAATCTACCTTGCTTTTTGAGACAGGCGCTCATTGGCCAGGAGCTCTCCCACTAGGCTAGGCTGTCGGACCAGCAAGTTCCAGGGATCCTGTTGTCTACCTCCCCAGCACTGGGGAGGGATTACAGGTACACACCATCAAGCCTGCTTTTTACATAGGTTCTGGGGATCAAATTCAGTCCTTGTGTGTGTGAGGCAAGAACTTTAGAAGTCAGATCTTCACTTTACAGACAACCCTACTTCCCCTGCTCTGAAATCCTAACCTAGCCGGACATGGTGGAGCATGCCTGTAACCCCAGCACTCGAGAGGCTGAGGCAGGAAGAGAGCCTGGCCTGCACCCTATACCCTCATCCGGTTCATACTGTGATATTGTTCCACCTGCCACTCCTGATTGTTGTCACGAACTGACCTTCACACACACACACACACACACACACACACACACACACACCATGCTTTCATGATTTCAGCATCTATAAATAAACACGGCTCATTATCAATATCACTTCTTCCTTATTGATTTCCTCTCTACCCACGAGTTTCCTTCCTCTCTTCCCAGACGCCCACACCCGTGCTTTTATGGGCTTGTCCAACTCAGCGAGATCTCGAAGATCTCAAGCCTGACCTTAACCTCCTCATGACTGCATTAACACATGAGTATCCCTCTAGCTTCACGGAGACCTGCATAGATTCTCACATTTACAACACAGGCGTGCGTGCACACATGATAAAATATGTGTGTGAGTGTGTGCACACACCCTTAGTAACAGTGGTCATACTTCCTTGCAAAAATCCATTAAACCCTTGCTCCCTCTCTTTTCAACTAACCAACCCCGGTGAAGCTCAGTTATCCCCCCACACTATCAGAACATTTGAACATTAAGAATTCACAGTGACTGCCACCGTTTTTACTTGACGTCTACAGACCTGGCGAGCCTGGCCGTCCTAGCACACCTCCTCACTCTCTAAGACGGGGTTTCTCCAGCTTCCCCTCTTGCCCCCCTCTCAGATTTTACCCTAAGCCGAAGACCTTGCTCCACACTCCACAGATACGAGGGAATCAGCCCCACGGGAGCCCCTTCATTTCCCAAGTCCCCGTCTTTGTCTTTTCTGTCTTTCCTGGTTTAAAAATGAAGGGGCCAGCCGGGGGTGGTGGCACACACCCAATCCCAGCACTCTGGAGGCAGGGGCAGGCAGATCTCTGTGAGTTTGAGGCCAGCCTGGTCTACAGAGCGAGTTCCAGGACAGCCAGGGCTGCACAGAGAAACCCTGTCTCGAAAAATCAAACAAATAAAATAAACTGAAGGGCTGCGTCCCTGCTGGAACCCACCCTCCCGGCACACAGAACCTTCCTGGTCTTCAGTTTCTCCCTCTATACAAGGAGCTTTATCCCTCTATACTTCCTCATTCTGTCAGCCTCATAAAACGTGTCTCGATAATGCCAGCAACCAGAGCCTGCTTGGTCCCCCATCTGTTAGCCACCTCCCCCATATTTGTGTTCCTGTTCATATAAAAACTTGTGAGTTCCTGGGGGCTGGGGACATGGCTCAGTGGGCAAAGTGCTTGGCACACAAGCAGAAGGACCAGAGTCAGATCCCCAGCAGTCATGGAAAAGCTGGGCATGATGGCACACATCTATAACCCCAACGCTACGGACGAGACAAGAAGATGCGGGGACTCATTGGTCAGCCGGTACAGTAGCCAAGATGGCGAGCTTCAAGTCCCCTGAAAGATTCTGTCTTAAAATTAAATGAGAGGCTAGAAAGATGGCTCGGTGACTAAGAGCACTTGTTGCTCTTGTAGAGGACCTAGGTTTGATTCCCATCACCCTCATGGCGGCTCACAAGCACCTGTAACTCCAATTCAGCAGATTCAGCACCCTCTTCTGACCTCCGCAGGACGAAGTACACAAGTGTCACATACATATATGCGGGCAAAACACCCATACACAAGATAAGTAAGTCTAATGAAGCACAGAAGCTATTGAGAAATAAATGCATCCAACCACCACCTGTGCCTGCACGGGCAAGTGCATGCATGTACACTCATGCATACACCACACATGCGCGCGCGCGCACACACACACACACACGCACGCGCACACACACACACACACACACACTTCTGCCAGAGATAATTCTGCACTGAGTCTAGATTCCCCTCAGGGGTTCGGGTTTTGCCTCGCCCCGATCACCCCACAGTTTCACACCTCTCAAGCTGACTTGGAAATTTCATCAAGCAAAAGTCAGTGCCTCACTCCTGACTTCTGGTGTCTGCTGCAACCTCCCCTGACATGACCTCACTTCCGACTAAACTTCCTCTTCGGATGCATGGTTCTGGGACCCCCATCTTTTCTGTGTGTGAGTCAGTCACAACATCATTAACACACAGAACATGGTAGGTGCTCAGTGAAGGTCCATGAACATAAGAGCATCAACGTAAGATGAGTATAAGTCAGCATTCTGGGGTGAGCAATGAAGCTTCGGCTGCTGCTGCTGCTTGTTTGTTTAATTTTATATTTATTGATTGATTGATTGATTGGCTTTTTTCGAGACAGGGTTTTTCTGCGTAGCTTTGGAGCCTGTCCTGGAACTCACTTTGTCTGTAGACCAGGCTGGCCTCAAACTCACAGAGATCCACCTGCCTCTGCCTCCCGAGTGCTGGGATTAAAGGCGTGCGCCACCACTGCCTGGCTTTATTTATTTTTATTTTATGTGCATTGGTGTTTTGCCATGGGTGTCAGGTCCCCCAGAACTGGAGTTACAGACAGTTGTGAGCTGCCATGTGGGGCCTCTGCAAGAGCAGTCAGTGGTCTTAACCACTGAGCCATCTCTCCAGTCCTCGGCTGCTTGTTTTTTATGGGTACTTACTAAGTACATTTGTTGTTGTTTTGAGACAATCTCTTACTATGTGCATTTGCTGTTGTTTTGAGACAATCTCACCATGTAGCCTTAGAATTCCTTAGGTAGACACTCCCAAGATCACCTTGCTTCCTGAATGCTGGGAATAAAGGTATGCACCACCATTCCTGGGACCCTGCATTCTTATAACCTCAACTCCTTCTAGTAAATCTTTGGTACTAGCAGCTTCAGTCTTGACTGGGTTTTTTTTGTTTGTTTGTTTGTTTTTGTTTCTGTTTTTGAGATAGGGTCTATTTATTTATTGATGCTAGGGATCAAACCCAGGATTTCATAGGCTGGCTTCAAACTCATTGTGTAGCTGAGGATGACCTTGAACTCCTGATCCTCCTGCCCACCATCTCTAGAGTTAGAATTACCAGTGTGTACTACCACCCCTGGTTTATCTAGTGTGTTAGGGGAAGGGAGATGGAACCCAGGGTTCGTGCAGGCTGGTCAAATACTCTCCTCACTCATTCCTCTATCCCTCATCATCGCAGAAGAAACTGGGGTGAAAATGGACAAGCCACTCTAACTTCGCTCTTTCTTCACCTGTCTGCAGAACCACCCGACAGATTGTAAGTAGCCTCAGAAGACAAGGGTACACCATCCTCCCTCGTCACGACCCTTTACACACAGCAGTTGCCCATGAGCATCTCTTGAGTTGAGGCAGGATGGCAGTGTAGCCGAAAGTTTTCTCCCGTCCCACCCGGCCCACAGTCCCGCAGCCACTTATAAAAAAAAAAAAAAATCATTCAGAGGCTTATATTAATTAACTTAACCCATTTCTATTCATCTGTAAGTTGCCACGTGGCCGTGGCATTACTGATCTGCTGGCATCTTGCTCCTTGGACAGCAGGCTGGCCTCTCTCCTGACTCCGCCTTTCTGTTTCCTGTCTCTCTTCTTGGATTTCCCCGCCTGCTTCTAAGCTGCCTTGCCATAGGCCAAAGCAGGTTATTTATTATCACACATGGAAGGGAACTTTGTGGGAGCAAGGAGCACGTGGAATTGCATGGTCATTGACTAATACCAGACCCATCTGAGTATCCAGTACTCAACATAGACTGATTAGCTTTCTTTCCTTCATCAGTCAAGTCCTACAGCTGAGATTTCTGGGTTAATAAATGCAGTTATCCCAGAAACTGGGGGTCACTTAGATCCTAAACCACCTCCCACTCACAGGCCTGGCCCTGCTTTCTGAGGTCACAAGATGGGGTGGTGTCAATGTGAAAGTGGCCTGTCTGTCACCGGCTACTGTGCCCAAACACCTGTTCCCCAGTTAGTGGTGCCCTTTTGGTGAAGTTGTGGGGCCTGGCTGGTGGAGGTGTGCCACTGAGGGCAGAACCTACCTCTAGTGCACTGTCTCAGCTCTCACTGCCGTGCCTTCTCCGTGAAGGATTGCACCCCCAAATCCTTCTTCCCTTAATTGCTCTGTCAGGTATTTGGTCATGGAGAAAAGTGTTTAATTCGTGTTCTTCTCGGGTTACTAAAGTAGTTCAGATGTGTGTTCATATGTATGTACTTCTGTAGTGCTAGGGACCATACCCAGGGTTTCATGGATGCTCAGAAAGTATTGATTCACCCACCCCCTAGTCCTTGCTTTTCTTTTGTTTTAAGATAGGTAGAGTCCAACCTAGCCTCAAGCTCACGATCCTCCTGCCTCAGCTTGCCAAGACCTTGGGTGGCCCTTTGGTGTGGGGAGGGGCAGGGTCTAACTATGTAACCCCAACTGGTCTGGAACTCAATATACAGATCATGCTGGACTCAAACTCACAGAAATCCACTTGCCTCTGCCTCCTTAGTGCTAATGAAAGGTGTGTGTCACCACACATAGCCACCATTTTTAATTTTTTTTATTTTAGATTATTTTATTTTTATGTGTATGACAGTTCTTCCTGTGTGTATGGGTGTGTACCACATGTGCACCTGGTGTCCCCTGAGTTCAGAAGAAGTTATCAGATGCGCTGGAACTGGAGCCATGAATGGTTATGAGCCACCGTGTGGGTGCTGGGAATTGAACTCAGATCCTCTGGAAGAGTACCAAGGACTTCATTGCTGAGCCAACTCTGCAGTCCCAGAATTTTTTTTTTTTTTAAGAAGCATATACCAGAGAGTAAAAGAGCCTTTTGAGTCTTAGAAACTTCCAGTTATTGGGACATAAAGTAGAACTGAATGTCGGGGGAGGGGAGAATACGCTGATTTCTTTTGAAGACAGAAAAGTGTGGTTTGTAGTAAAAGAGGCAGCCTTGACTTGAGAGCTTAGGTCGACCCTCCCACCATTCAGCATCTTGACAGGACATGTAGCAATGAAGGGGAGGAGGCCAGAGCATTGGCAACCACTGGTTTAATACAGCCCAAGGCTGTGGTGCCAAGAGGATTCTTTACTCTGAGGTTTAGCACAATCATCTTGGGGTTTTTGTTTTGATTTTTTAATAGGTACCTGGGAGAACTCCCAGCTGCCTTCTGCTGGACCAGAAGTGTTTGTATCCTGTCCATCTGGGGGGTCCTGATCGGAGATGTAGAAAGGCCTCTCACATGTGGGCCAGCTGTTGGAGTTTTTATATGCACATCTGCAGAGAATTCACATTTGGTGAATTAAGTTGGCCAGCCAGCCAGCCACTAGGGTTGGGCTGGACTATACAAAATATACCCCAGGCTGATTCTCACTTTGGGTTTGGGATAAGTAGCCCCTGTCTTTCCAGGTGGTATTCTCCAACACATCCTCAACAGCTGGGCTTGGAGCTGCGGTTGTGTGTTTCCATGGAAACCATGCACTTTGTACACCTTATCTCTTACTCTCCCCTTATCTTTTGTCCCTGCTGCTCCATGGGCTCCTTAGGGTGGGACTATGAGTCACTCCCTAACATTATCGTAGTTCCTGAGATACAATCCAGGGCCACAAATGGAACCTGCCAAATGGTGACCCAGGAAGAAACTCCAGTCATCCAGGATGTAAACGGTGGTCAGCTCCACCCAATCCCATCCCTCCTGCAGAACAAGACATCACAGTGGACCTAATGAGACTCAGCCAGATGCAAAACTTGCCCTGGAGCTTATGAAGTAACCGAACTGAGAGCATAACCTGGTGAAAGGCTGGAGTACATGATGAGAGCACCTGTGGTCTCAGCTACAGGAGGCTGAGGCTGGAGGATCACTGAAGTGCTGGAGTTCAAGGCTAGCCTGGGCAACATAGAGTCTATCTCTTAAGACAAAACACTAAAAATAACAACAAAAAAATCCAAGCAATGAAAACTTAAAAACAAAAAAAATTAGATATCACTTATAATAATAATATTAGAAAATATATGAACCAGGCATGGTGACATATGCCTTTAATCCGAGTACTCAGGAGGCAGAGGCAGGGAGATCTCCTTAACTTCAAGCCTGCCTAGTCTACACAGCAAATTCTAGGCCAGCCAGAACTACATAATGAGACCCAATCTCAAAACAAAACAAAACGTTGCTCTAGCAGAGGCCCTGGGTTCAGGGTTCAATTTCTGGCACCTACATGGTGGCTAACAACATTCTGTAACTCCATTTCCAGATTGTCTAAAGCCCCCTTCTAGCCTCATAGGCACTGCATGGACATGGTGCACAGATATTCACACACACACACACACACACACACACACACACACACACACACATCTTAAAAAAAAATAAAATTAAATCTGGGCATTGGTAGCACATGCCTTTAATCCCAGCACCCAGGAGGCAGAGGCAGGTGGATCTCTGTGAGTTCCAAGCCAGCCTGGTCTACATAGTGAGATCCGGGACAGCCAGGGCTATACAATACAATGAAACCCTATCTTGAAAAAAACAAAAAAAAATTAAAAATATAAAATATATCAGCCTGATTTCTGTTCAATAGAACCTATGGACCACATGTTGTAAGTGGACCTTGGTTGAAGTTTTCAATTTCTAGGACCAGACTAGACCTGAGAGCATATTTACCTATAGCCATTGATATCACTTTTGTTACAAAGATCGAGATTGAAGCAAAAACAGGAACATGGAGGGCTGGGGATGTAACCAAATTGGTACCATGCTTGCCTAACACACACAAAGCCCTAGGTACAGTTCATAATACTGTGTGTATCAGCTATGCTGGTACATGACTATAAGCCCCACATTCAAGAGATGAAGGCAAGAAGAACAGACATTTAAAGTCATCCTCTGCTACATGGATTCGGAATTTGAGGCCAGTCTAAGGCACATGAGACTGTGGTGATATTGTGTCCCCCTAATAAACTTATCTGGGTCAGAGAACAGAACAGCCACTAGACAGACATAGAGGCCAGAAAATGGTGGCACACACACCTTTAATCCCATCACTTGGGAGGCAGAGATCCATCTGGATTTCTGTGAGTTCAAGGCCACACTGGAAACTACCAGGCATGGTGACACATACCTTTAATCCAAGGAAGTGATGGCAGGAAGCAGAAAGGTATATAAGCCGTGGTGAGGACCAGGAACTAAGTTTGGTTAAGCTTTTAGGCTTTTAGCAGCAGTTCAGCTGAGATCTGTTCAGATGAGGACACAGAGTCTTCCAGTTTGAGAAAACAAGATCAGCTGAGAAATTGGCGAGGTGAGGTTGGCTGTGGCTTGTTCTGTTTCTCTGATCTTTCAGCGTTCACCCCAATATCTGGCTCCGGGTTTGTTTTTATTAATAAGACCTTTTAAGACTCGTGCTACATGAGACTTCGTCTTCAAAGATGGAGAAGTGATGAATACCTGGTCCAGCGGCCATCAGCAGGTGAAATGTCGACTTGACAGACACAAACTAGGATCATCTGGGAATAGAGGACCTCAATTGAGAAAATGCCACCATCAGCTTGGCCTGTAGACAAACCTATGGGCCATCTTCTTGATTAATGATAGATGTGGGAGAGCCTGGCCCACTGTAGGTGGCGATACCTCTAGGCAGGTGGCCCTAGGTGCTTTAAGAAAGCAAACTGGAGCTGGAGAGATGGCTCAGGGTTAAGAGCACTGGCTGCTCTTCCGGAGGACCCAGGTTCAATTCCCAGCACCCACATGGCAACTCACAACTCTGTAACTCCAAGATCTAACACCCTCCCTCCCTTCCTCCTTACCGCCCTCCCTCCTCAATTAATAATAAAAATAAATCTTACAAAAAAGAAAAACCTACCAGACAGGATCAGACATCTGTGGTCTAGGACCTTGTAGGACCAGCATAGCATGAAACATATCTGTCAAGAAAGCGAATTGTCCGAGGTTCTCTCCTAGGTGCCTGGGTGGCCATTGCAGTTCTATTGGGGCTTTGATCTTGACTTCACTCTCTGCCTCATACCACTTATGGTTAATCTATGTATGTCAACATTAACAAGTTGCATGGCTACCTTGCCCATTCCCTCTTTCCGAGCACATTGTCTATATTGTCCAGCCCCCATGTGACTGGTTTTTAACCAGTGGTGTATAGGAGGAAATGACATGGTGCCATCTCAAAGCACAGCCATAATGTGTCCCTTGTGTCCTGCCTCATGGTCATCAGTTGAATGAATTCGGAGGATCCAAAGGAAGCCACCAAGGTGCAGAAGCCTATGTCCCCTTCAGTGGTAAAACATGGAAGGGATCCAATCAGATGATGCTTGGGGAAGGAGGAGATACACCAGTGTTGAGGAGTGTTGATTCCAGCAGCCAGTGTCTCCCTGATACACATCTGAGCTGTTCTCCTTTATAGCTCCCATCAGATCAATAAATGTCTGGAATGCTAAACATCACTGGGATCGCCATAAAAGTGCAGTAGTTTTACTGATCTTTGTAGGTAGAGTGGGGAGGCTGGACAGGGGCCCTGCAGCTCATTTATGGTAAGCCAGGCTTTGAACTGAGCACTGTCTGCTCCTCCACCTCAGCCCAAACGAAGAGGTGGTTAGAAGTTGATCAGACTCCAGGCTTCTGCACACCTGCTGTTGTGACTTACAGCAGAACCTCCTCCCGCGCCCCGCAGTGAGTGACGTCATTTATGTATGATGCCTTTGAGCTTTATGTCCCCATCATCCCCAAGCACTCAAAGTAGGGGCAGTTAAAATGACGACCATTTTCTCCAGTGGGCCATCTCAGTGTCCTGGAATCCCATCTTTTACCATGCTGCAAATACCTTCCCCATCAGCTTCTTCCACTCGTAATGTCTGTTGTGATTCAAGTGAGAAATGTCTTCCATTGGCTCAGTTATACAAACACGTGATATTCCAGCTGGTGGCGCTGTTTGGGAACAAGGTGCCCAAGGAAATCCCGCGCCAAGGGCAGGATTTGAGAGTTCTTGGCCTTGCCCTACTTCTGGCTTGCTCTCTCCACTTGGTGTTCATAATTGAGGATGTAAGCTCTTGGCTTCCTGCCCCTGCCCCCATTCCTGTCCCCAGCTACCATTCCTCCTCTGCCAAGACGAACTCTTAGCCTTCTGGAACCATTAAGCCACAATGGACTCTTTTGTAGCTTGATTTGGTCATGGCATTTTGTCACAGCATCAGAAAAGTGGCAGATACGGTCTGCTCTGTGTCTCTCTTACCTAAATAATCACATCTTCGTCCTCCCTGCAGTCATGATGGAGCAGACGGCAGAGCCTCCCGTTAAATCCTGGTGTCCTTGTCTATCAAATGGGGACTCGAGACCACCCATGTACAGCCATCACTCAATAACATAGGCAAAACCAGGTGTGGTGTACACCTGTAATTCTAGAACTCAGGACGCTGAAGCTGGTGGATCTTTGTGAGTCTGAGGCCAGCCTGGTCTACATAGCAAATTCCAGGCCTACCAAGGCTAACTACCCTTTCTTAAAAAAAGCTTGTATGTGTATGTATGTGTGTGTATGTGTAACATGAATCTTAAAAGGTCTTATTAATAGAAAACCTGGAGCCAGATATTGGGGTGAAAGCTGGAAGATCAGAGAAGCCGAGCAAGCCAGCCATAAGTTCTTACCTCTATGAAATCCTCAGCCTCAAGAGAATGAGTTCCTGTTTCTTCACACCTTATATACCTTTCTGTGTCCTGCCATATTACTTCCTGGGATTAAAGATGTGTGTCACCACTGCCTGGTTCTCTTTCTCTCATGTAGCCCAGTGTGGCCTTGAACTCACAGAGATCCAGACGGATCTCTGCCTCCCGAGTGATAGGATTAAAGGTGTATGCCACCACTGCCTGACCTCTATGTCTAATGTAGTGGCTGGCTCTGTCCTCCGATCCCCAGGCCAGCTTTATTGGGGCACACAGTGTATCACCACACGTATGTGTGTGCGTGCACACCCATTGTAGCTAGAAGTTGGAGACACAGCTCAGCGAGAGAGGCATCAATTGCCTAGTGTGTGTGCAAAACCCTGATTTGAGTCCATAGAGCCACAAACAACAGCAAAAAACACCCAAGCAAACAAACAAACAAAAAGGGAATTTATAGCAAGATGAAAGCACAAAAAAAAGAAAAACAGCCTAGACACAACTGCTGCTTTCTTTTTAGAATGTAAACTAATCTTTTTCTGTCACACATATATGCATAATTTACCATAATGAGCTTATGCAGCAATACAGGTTTCTACGTTGCTTTTTCCTTAGCCAATGACTCATCATGGTTACTTTACACATTAAAGATTCTCCCAGGGCAGAGTGCTTAATGGCTTGTCAGTGTCTATTTGTGGAAGCATCTCGATTAAAGACAAAACCTGGGGCTGGTGAGATGGCTCAGCAGGTATACGCATGGACTCTGCAAGTCTGATAGCCTGACTTCAAATCCCTGGAGCCCACAGTGAAAGGAGGCTTCTGATATGCCCGCTCCCTCTACACACACACACACACACACACACACACACACACACACACACACACACGCCAGTGTTTCACTGTTGTTTTCTTCTGAGCATCACCAAGCATCTTTACATGCATCCCTTCATCTTAACTATTTTCTTAGGACCCACAAGTATAACTCAGTATCCAAAGAAGAGCATGTGGTCCATCTTTTTGCTCTCCCTTCGACAAATAGCCACAACTCCACCAGCAGTGTATGAGAATGCCATAACAACAACAACAACAATTACTACTACTAGTTTCTGGGAAAGAAGATGACTGTGGAAAAAAAAAGACGATAAGTATTTGCTGCCGGGCAGTGGTGGCGCACACCTTTAATCCCAGCACTCAGGAGGCAGAGGCAGGTGGATCTTTGTGAGTTCGAGGCCAGCCTGGTCTACAGAGCGAGATCCAGGAAAAGGCGCAAAGCTACACAGAGAAACCCTGTCTCAAAAAACCAAAAAAAAAAAAAAAAAAAAAAAAAAGATGATAAGTATTTGCTAAAGGCAACCCCACGGCAGCTGTGTTTATTTGTTGAACTCTATCTCCATGTCCATGGACCAAACACCCATGGTCCTTTAGATTTGTAGTTTATATAGTACATCTTTCAACACCCTGAAACTTTGACCCAGGTTATAGCTGAAGGAAAGAGGGTTTCTGGTAAATAC